TTTAGGAGGGTGGGTGCAGGAGGAAAGAGGAGTGATTGGTGGAATGATGAAGTAAGGGTATGATAAAAGAGAAAAAGGTAGCTTAAGAGAGGTATTTACAAAGCAGAAGTGTTATAAAAAGAGTAGAGTATTTGGAGAGTAAAAGAAAGATGAAGAGAGTGGTGAGAGAGTGCTAAAGGAGAGCGGATGATAGAGTGGGAAAGGTACTGTCAAGGAATTTTAATGAAATTAGAAAAAAATTTGGAGTGAGTTAAACAAGTTAAGAAAGTCTAGGGAACAAATGGATTTATCAGTAAAAAAACAGAGAAGGGGAGTTAGTAGATGGGGAGATGGAGGTTTTGGGTAGATGGCGAGAATATTTTGAGGAACTTTTTAAATGTCGACGAAGAAAAGGAGGCGGTAATTTCATGCACTGGCCAGGGAGGTATATCATCTTTTAGGAGTGAAAAAGAGAAGGATATGAGTGTGGGGGAGGTGCTTGAGGCATTACATAGAACGAAAGGGGGTAAAGCAGCTGGAACTGACGGGATCATGACAGAAATGTTAAAAGCAGGGGGGGACATAGTGTTGGAGTGGTTGGTATTTTTGTTTAATAAATGTATGAAAGAGGGGAAGGTACCTAGGGATTGGCGGAGAGCATGTATAGTCCCTTTACATAAAGGGAAGGGGGACAAAAGAGTCTGTAAAAATTATAGAGGAATAAGTTTACTGAGTATACCAGGAAAAGTGTACGGTAGGGTTATTATTGAAAAAATGAGAGGTAAGACAGAATGTAGAATTGCGGATGAGCAAGGAGGTTTTAGAGTGGGTAGAGAATGTGTAGATCAAGTGTTTTCATTGAAGCATATATGTGAGCAGTATTTAGATAAAAGTAGGGAAGTTTTTATTGCATTTATAGATTTAGAAAATGCATATGATAGAGTGGATAGGGGAGCAATGTGGCAGATGTTGCAAGTATATGGAATAGGTGGTAAGTTACTAAATGCTGTAAAGAGATTTTATGAGGATAGTGAGGCTCAGGTTAGGGTGTGTAGAAGAGAGGGAGACTACTTCCCGGTAAAAGTAGGTCTTAGACAGGGATGTGTAATGTCACAATGGTTGTTTAATATATTTATAGATGGGGTTGTAAAAGAAGTAAATGCTAGGGTGTTCGGGAGAGGGGTGGGATTAAATTATGGGGAATTATATACAAAATGGGAATTGACACTGTTACTTTTTGCTGATGATACTGTGCTTATGGGAGATTCTAAAGAAAAATGGCAAAGGTTAGTGGACGAATTTGGGAATGAGTGTAAAGGTAGAAAATTGAAAGTGAACATAGAAAAGAGTAAGGTGATGAGAGTATCAAATGATTTAGAAAAGAAAAATTGGATATCAAATTGGGGAGGAGGAGTATGAAAGAAGTGAAAGTTTTCAGATATTTCTGAGTTGACCTGTCAGCGGATGGATTTATGAAGGATGGGGTTAATCATAGAATTGATGAAGGAAAAAAGGTGAGTGGTGCATTGACGTATATGTTGAGGCAAAAAATATTATCTATGGAGGCAAAGAAGGGAATGTATGAAAGTATAGTAGCACCAACACTCTTATATGGGTGTGAAGCTTGGGTTGTAATTGCTGAAGCAAGGAGGCGGTTGGAGGCAGTGGAGATGTCCTTTCTAAGAGCAATGTGTGGTGTAAAAATTATGCAGAAAATTCGGAGTGTGGAAATTAGGAGGTGTGGAGTTAATAAAAGTATTAGTCAGAGGGCTGAAGAGGGTTTGTTGAGGTGGTTTGGTCATTTAGAGAGAATGGATCAAAGTAGAATGACATGGAGAGCGTATAAATCTGTAGGGGAAGGAAGGAGGGGTAGGAGTCGTCCTCGAAAAGGCTGGAGGGAGGTGGCAAAGGAGGTGTTGTGGGCAAGGAGTTTGGACTTCCAGCAAGAGTGCGTGAGCATGTTAGATAGGAGTGAATGGAGACAAATGGTATTTGGGACTTGACTTTCTGTTGGAGAGTGAGCAGGGTAATATTTAGTGAAGGGATTCATGGAAACCGGTTGTTTTATATAACTGGACTTGAGTCCTGGAAATGGGAAGTACAATGCCTGCACTCTAAAGGAGGGGTTTGAGATATTGGCAGTTTGGAGAGATATATTGTGTATTTTTATACGTATATACTTCTAAGCTGTTGTATTCTGAGCACCTCTGCAAAAACAGTGATTATGTGTGAGTGAGGTGGAAGTGTTGAATGATGAAGAAAGTATTATCTTTTTTGGAATTTTATTTCTCTTTGGGTCACCTGCCTCGGTGGGAGACGGCCGACTTGTTGAACCACACACACATATATATTATATATATATATTATATATATATATATATATATATATATTATATATATATATATATATATATATATATAAAATATAAATAACATATATATATAATATATATATATATATATATATATATATAATATATTTATATATATATATTATATATATATATATATATATATATATATATAATATAATATTTTATATATATATATATATATATATATATATATATATATATATATATATACATATATATATATATATATATATATAATATATATATATATATATATATATATATATATATATATATATATTATATATATAATATATATATATATATATATATATATATATATATATATACGTAAATATATGTATATATTGCAAATAATCCCAGATGGGCGATCTTAACTATACAGGACAAGCCACGGGGGGGTGGAAATCTAAGCTCAAGAACTTTCACACTTCTCAGTGCGTCATTAGGAGCTGTGAAATGTTTTTTGTTGCAAGGGTGCAACAAAAGCAGGGAGAGAGGTCCGTGGCTTGTCCTGCATATAAAATACGTATACATATATATACATATATATATATATTTATATATAATATATATATATATATATAAAATATATATATTTAAAATATGTTATATATATATATATATATAATATATATATATATATATATCTATATATATATATATATATATATATATATATATATTATATTATATATATATTATATATATATATATATATATGGAAAAAAACCACTGTGAAAGACTAGAGAAATTCCAAGCGCTTTCGTGACTACTCACATTATCAACAAACTGTGAAAGTAAAGCATCCAAGGAAGGTATATAAGGGGTCTGGCCAAGACCTCACTATCAGATCCCACAACAGTTAAACACCTGACGCGCGCCGGCCCAAGTTCTCAAAAACATTGATGAGAAAACAGACAGTTTCACTCTATCTTGATGCGAAGAATAATAGTGGACATAGCAACAGTTATTTGTAGGTTTTCTGTAAATTTTAAATTTGAATTCATTATTACCCTTATCTGAAAAACTCGTTAACTATGATTTACCATTGCCAGATTTTCTACTATCATTAAACTTATTAAACTTAGCATTGTTGATGCAAAATTTGTTTTTAATGATACGTTTTACACTCAGAAGTTTGGTATGGCAATGGGAAATCCTCTTTCACCTGTTCTTAGTAACCTATACATGGAATTGCTTAGCACAATCCTCCCTAATAGAGCTAAATGGTTCAGATATGTTGATGATATTTTGTGTCTTATGCCCAAAAATGTAGATATGCACCATTTCCTTGGAAAATTAAATAGCTTAGCCCATTCTATAAACTTTTCTGTTGAGTTTGAAGAAAATAACACATTGCCTTTTCTAGATGTTTTAATTATTAAAGGTAATAATGAATTCAAATTTAAAATTTACAGAAAACCTACAAATAACTGTTCCTATGTCCACTATTATTCTTCGCATCAAGATAAACTCTCTGTTTTCTCAACAATGTTTTTGAGAGCTTTACGAATTTGTAGTCCTGAGTTCATAGATGAGGAAATATCCAAAATTTATGAAATAGGTAATGATTTAAAATACCCAAGAAATGTAATTGATAAATCTTTTAAAGTTGCTAGAAATACTTTTTACAATCCAAAAAGGGACAACCAGCCTTATTCAACTAAAAATATGTTGGTTCTCCCTTACCATGAAAACTTGGTTGATATGCCTTCTCTTCTTAAGACTTTTAATATTAAAGTTGTATTCAAAAATCTTGATACAGTAAAAAAACTTTTGATAAAGAATTCCCCACAAAATGCTGATGGATGTGTCTATAACATTCCTTGTAAAATTTGCGATAAAGTTTATTACTGTCAAAAATGTTAAAAATCTCGAACTAAGATTAAAACAACATAAATATAGCATTAGAACTGGACAAGATTCCAATGCTCTCTTTATTCATGTAAGAGATTTTAACCATCCAATTGATTTTCAAAAAGTTGAGAAAGTAGTATCAAGCAAGTCCATGGTCGACAGGAATATAATTGAATCTTGTTTCATAAAAAGCAGTTTTGACAATAATATGAATATTTCCTTTGGTTTATATAAATTAGATCCATTTATAATTAATAAAATTTGGGAAGAATTTAATAATACACTGGACAAATAATAATTTTTCTTGGGTAGAATAGTTTGTTGGTGGGTGGTGCAAAGGACCTGTCCAGTTGGGCCGGCGCGCGTCAGGTGTTTAACCGTTGTGGGATGTGATAGTGAGGTGTTGGCCAGACCCCTTATATGCCTTCATTGGATGCTTTACTTTCATAGTTCCTTGATAATGTGAGTAGTCACGAAAGTGCTCGGAATTTCTCTATTCTTTCAGAGTGGTTGTTTTGCATATTTTGAAATCACCTGTTTACTGTGATCTTATTGCATATATATATATATATATATATATATATATATATATATATTTATATATATATATATATATATATATATATTATATTATATATATATATATTATATATTTCGTGCCGAATAAAGTAAAAAACTGGTTTTAATTAGGGAAGAACTCCTTTAAAAATTAGTTCTTTCTAAAATTTTCTCTTATACTTGGTCCACACTCGCATTAAGTCATGCTACAAAAATTCCTCCACTCACGCGCCATCTGGATGTGAACAGTGGCTGCGATGGGTCTGGTGAGATTAGAATTTGCTACGACGCAAGTGAAGCGGCGACGGTGGTGTGCTCTGGTCAGGTGCTGTAGAGTGATGGTGTTCTCCATGGCCTCGTTCGACGCGTCCATTGCGTACGTGTCGTCTACGAGCATATCGTCCTCGAACCATACCACTCGTGGAGGAGGCCACGCTGTCAGAAGCATGACGAAAGTAAAAACGAAAAATGTTATTCACCGCTCGGAAGAGTAGAGAAAATACAATTAGCATCATTTAAAATCTCTTCATCTTCTGCGATAATCTGGAGCAGCTGCAGATTGGAAGATTGGTATATTATGAAGATGGTGTGAGGTATGAGAAGAGGCTGCAGTATATGCTGAATTATGTCAGGTCAGAAAAGTCTAGCATCAATTTTAAATAGTTTAGGATGAGGATACACACATGCAAAGACACATATTCATACAAAAATACTCTCAAACACACAGACACACAGACACACACACACACACACACACACACACACACACACACACACACACACACACACACACACACACACACACACACACACACACACACACACACACACACACATACTCTGAAGTGTCCCTGTTCGCAGATGACGTGAAGTTGATGAGAAGAATTAAATCGGACGAGGATGAGGCAGGACTGCAAAGAGACCTGGACAGGCTGGACATGTGGTCCAGCAACTGGCTTCTCGAATTCAATCCAGCCAAATGCAAAGTCATGAAGATTGGGGAGGGGCAAAGAAGACCGCAGACAGAGTATAGGCTAGGTGGACAAAGACTACAGACCTCACTCGGGGAGAAAGACCTTGGGTGACCATAACACCGAGCACATCACCGGAGGCACACATCAACCAAATAACCGCTGCAGCATAGGGGCGCCTGGCAAACCTGAGAATAGCGTTCCGATACCTTAATAAGGAATCGTTCAAGACACTGTACACTGTGTATGTTAGGCCCATACTGGAGTATGCAGCACCAGTCTGGAACCCACACCTGGTGAAGCACGTCAAGAAGTTAGAGAAAGTACAAAGGTTTGCAACAAGGCTAGTCCCAGAGTTCAAGGGAATGTCGTACGAGGAAAGGTTAAGGGAAATCGGACTGACGACACTGGAGGACAGAAGGGTCAGGGGAGACATGATAACGACATACAAGATACTGCGGGAATAGACAAAGTGGGACAGAGATAGGATGTTCCAGAGAGGGGACACAGGGACAAGGGGTCACAACTGGAAGCTGAAGACTCAGACGAGTCACAGGGACGTTAGGAAGTATTTCTTCAGTCATAGAGTTGTCAGTAAGTGGAATAGCCTAGCAAGTGAAGTAGTGGAGGCAGGAACCATACATAGTTTTAAGAAGAGGTATGACAAAGCTCAGGAAGAAGAGAGAGAGAGGATCCAGTAGCGATCAGTGAAGAGGCGGGGCCAGGAGCGGAGTCTCGACCCCTGCAACCACAATTAGGTGAGTACACACAGGCACACACACAGGCACATACACATACACGCACACATACACACATACACACATACACACATACACACACACACACACACACACACACACACTCACACACACACACACACACACACACACACACACACACACACTCGTGGAGGAGTCACGCGGTTTGAGCTCGTGTTTAGGTGATAATTTCTGACTGTGCCATAAGGAATAGAGTGTGGGATATAGGCGTGTGCACGCATAAGAGTGCATATAATCACTTAAGCCCCGAAAAAAGGAAATATAAGTGACCACAGAAAAGAAAAGAAAGGAAATAGTGGCTGAGTGTTTAGTAGGGGCCGTTGGAAGGGCGAACGGTTGTATCAGGCCTAAATAGTGTTGCCATAATAACGCAGTGGGGTATTTTGAAGAATAAGTGCTACTCAAGACCAGGGAGATAAGAGATATGTATAAATGTGTCAGTAAATACAGTGAGTGAAAAAATTAGAAGAGCTAGAGACTATAGTGCATACAGGAAATTAGTGGAAAAATTACCGAGAAGCATCAAACATCTTCAACTTCTGGGGCAGGACAGACCGGCAACGTTACTCCACTGTCAGCCACAAGTAATATTCACCTAGTTTGAGTTGCATAGGGTCAATAGTACCTGTCTCTAGCTGGAATTGGGGGTCACTCTCCTCGAGCTATCATAATTAGAATAAGCAGCATTTACTGGCATTTAATAGAATTTAGAGGTAGTGGCATACAGGCGAAGCCTAGAGCATTTATTTTTGAACGTAATTTTAAACGCATAAGACAGTACAGTGGGAACCAAGAGATCGGGTACATATACAATACATATGTAGTACATACGTGGGAAATAAGGACTGTTTACATAAACATAAGCACACACATTAGGTGAGAACAGGATCTGCTGTTAGGCACTTGAATAGCTGTAGCACACACACACACACACACACACACACACACACACACACACACACACACACACACACACACACACACACACACACACAAGGTGTAAGGAGGCAAAAACAAAGTGCAATAGAGAATGGAAAAAGTACAGAAGGCAGAGAAACACACGAAAATAGGGAGATCAGTCGCAGAGCCAGGAATGAGTACGCACAGTAAGGAGGGAGGCCCAGCGACAGTATGAAATGACATAGCATCGAGAATCAAAGACTGACCCGAAACTGTTGTATAGCCACATCAGGAGGAAGACAACAGTCAAAGACCAGGTGATCAGATTAAGGACAGAAGGTGGAGAACTCACAAGAAATGATCAGGAGGTATGTGAGGAGCTGAACAGGAGATTTAAGGAAGTTTTTTACAGTAGAGACAGGAAGGGCTGTGGGAAGACAGCACAGAAGGGGAACATCAAGAGGGAATATACCAACAAGTGTTGGATGACATACGAACAACTGAGGAGGAGGTGAAGAAGCTTTAAGTGACCTTGACACCTCAAAGGCGATGGACCGGCAACATCTCCCATGGGTCCTTAGAGAAGGAGCAGAGATGCTGTGTGTGCCTCTAACCACAATCTTCAACACTCCCTTGAAACTGGGCAACTACCTGAGAAATGGAAGACAGCTAATGTAGTCCCCATATTTAAGAAAGGAAACAGAAACGAGGCACTAAACTACAGACCTGTGTCTCTGACATGTATTGTGTGCAAAGTCATGGAGAAGATTATCAGGAGGAGAGTGGTCGAACACCTGGAAAGGAACAAGATTATAAATGAAAACCAGCATGGGTTCATGGAAGGCAAATCTTGTATCACAAACCTCCTGGAGTTTTATGACAAGGTAACAGAAGTAAGACACGAGAGAGAGGGATTGGGTAGATTGCGTTTTCCTAGACTGCAGGAAGGCCTTTGACACAGTTCCCCACAAGAGATTAGTGCAGAAGCTGGAGGATCAGGCACACATAAAAGGAAGGGCACTGCAATGGATAAGGGAATACCTGACAGGGAGGCAGCAACGAGTCATGGTACTGTGAAGAGGTATCACAGTGGGCGCCTGTTACGAGCGGGGTCCACAGGGGTCAGTTCTAGGACCAGTGCTATTTTTGATATATGTGAACGACATGATGGAAGGAATAGACTCTGAAGTGTCCCTGTTCGCAGATGACGTGAAGTTGATGAAAAGAATTAAATCGGACGAGGATGAGGCAGGACTGCAAAGAGACCTGGAGAGGCTGGACATGTGGTCCAGTAACTGGCTCTCGAATTCAACCCAGCCAAATGCAAAGTCATGAAGATTGGGGAGGGGCAAAGAAGACCGCAGACGGGAATATAGGCTAGGTGGACAAAGACTACAGACCTCACTCAGGGAGAAAGGACCTTGGGGTTGACCATAACCCCGAGTACATCACCGGAGGCAACATCAACCAAATAACCGCTGCAGCATCGGGCGCCTGGCAAACCTGAGAATAGCGTTCCGATACCTCAATAAGGAATCGTTCAAGACCTGTACATGTGTATGTTAGGCCCATACTGGAGTATGCAGCACCAGTCTGGAACCCACACTGGTCAAGCACGTCAAGAAGTTTAGAGAAAGTACAAAGGTTTGCAACAAGGCTAGTCCAGAGCTCAAGGGAATGTGTAGGAGGAAAGGTTAAGGGAAATCGGATGACGAACTGGGGACAGAAGGGTCAGGGGAGACATGATAACGACATACAAGATACTGCGGGGAATAGACAAGGTGGACAGAGATAGGATGTTCCAGAGAGGGGACCCCAGGGACAAGGGGTCACAACTGGAAGCTGAAGACTCAGACGAGTCACAGGGACGTTAGGAAGTATTTCTTCAGTCATAGAGTTTTTCAGCAAGTGGAATAGCCTAGCAAGTGAAGTAGTGGAGGCAGGAACCATACATAGTTTTAAGAAGAGGTATGACAAAGCTCAGGAAGCAGAGAGAGAGAGGATCCAGTAGCGATCAGTGAAGAGGCGGGGCCCGGAGCTGGGGTCTCGACCCTGCAACCACATTAGGTGAGTACAATAGGTGAGTACAAAACCACACAAACATACAGACACACCACACACACTTATACAGGATTTCACACCTTCCGTGAAATGACCCTCTAACCCTTCCTTCCCCCCCCCGACTCCTCCCTCTCCTCCTCCTCTCTCTTCCCTCTCTCTCTCTCTTCCCCTCTCTCTCTCTCTCTCTCTCTCTCTTTTCTCTCTTCTCTCTCTCTCTCTCCCTTTCTCTCATCCTCTCTCTTCCTCTCTCTCTTCCTCTCTCTCTCTTCCTCTCTCTCTCCCTCTCTGTCTCCCTCCCCCTTCCTCTCTTCCTCTTTACTCTTCTCTCTTTTCCCTCTCTCTTCCTCTTCTTTCCTCTCCTCTCTCCTCTCCTCTCTCTCTCTCCTTCTCTTTTCCTCTCTTTTCTTCCCTTGCACCCCCCCCTCTCTCTTACCTTTTCCCTCTCTCTCACTTTCTCCCCCCTTTTCTCTTCTTTTCCCCTCTCTCCTTCAACCCTCCCCTTCTATTTCTCCTTCTCTCTGACTCTCTCCCCCTTTTTCTTTTTCTTTTTCTCTCTCTCACTAAAAAAAAAAATGGTTGGGACTCACAGGAATCAGGGATCAGATGAAAATGGTACTGGTAGGGAGGAATGGATGGAGGAGCAGTGGAAAAGGATAGAGCAAGAATGGGAGAGAAAATTAGGAGGGCTTTCTAAAAAAAAGGGGAGAAAGGGCTCTTGTGAAAT